TTGTAATTAATGGATGCATTGACAGATTTAGTCATCACGTAGCTAATTTCGATGAAAGCATATTAATCTAACAGTGACCCAAGTCATTGCGAACTACTTTATAAACACAGACACGACTGTATACCAGGTATGTCCAATTTTGGTCCTCAAGGGCTGGTCTCCTGCAAGTTTTTGATTTGTCCCTGCTTCAACACAGCTGATTCAAATAGATGATTTACCTTCTAGTTTGCCATCAAGATCTGCAGAGGCCCACTAATCAAGCACTAATTAGGTTCAGCTGTGTTGAACCAGGGCAGCACCTAAAACATGCAGGYCACCGGCCCGCGAGGACCGACTTTGGACACCACTGCTGTACACATACAGTGTTGGGGAGATYAGGAAGAAATGAGAAATGGAAAATGGACACCTCGTGTAAGATTATGACTTTTTTGACGACTTTAATCATGTAATAATAATAAAAAAAGTCTTGTTGTGTGGCCCTAATACTCCGTCGTAATAACACACTGAACAGATAACCTTGAATTAAAAATGTTTATTTTATCTGGTATTTTGCAGCTTAATGGATACTTACTTCATACCTTTACAAAAATTAGGCTGGATTCTCAGAAGCAGCTCCCTTTTTCTGTGTAATTAGTCTTTAGTTACATGTTACTTAACATCTTTTGTTTGTACTGATAGTGATGGATACCAAAAAATTATTTTATAATTACATGATTCAGACTTCTTATAGGTATCAGTATGATAAAAAGATACATATTTTCCAAAACGTTTTAGCAAACCATTGCAGAGAAATGAGCTGCAACTCTAAATCTGCTCTTGTTGTGTGATGAAGCAGTTTTTCCTTCTCTTCCTACTGTCTCAACACTTTGTGCCTTGTTTTAAAGGCCCTCCATGTCCAAGAAGAGCGTGATAGACTGAGGTTAGACTTTAATGAGCTAGAAGAGAGGGTAAATCCACGTTTCATTTTCTCTTTCTTCCATTTATGCCGTMTGGTGTGTCGAGTAGTCTGGGACCTGTTTAAGTCTGCTTGCAACAGACTCTCCTCCTCCAAACTGTGTGTGCATGTGTGTTTTTGCGTACACGTTTGGGCACAAATGGGTGTGCACACGTGTACACTCGGTCCTCTTGGAGCACACCAGCCATAACTGCAGTTTTGTCTGGGTGTGTCACATGTTGCCCCCTCACTAACAGCCCACTGCGTGTTTTACCTCAGTGTGTGTCGCGCTTTTTACTGCTAAGTGGACCTGAAGACAAAAAGGTTGGTGGTTAGACCCAGGAAGGTGACTCTTCTTGGATAAATTGTTGAATACAGCAGAATATTCACATACAGTACCAATCTTTTTTTCTTTCCATTTTGGTTAGAAAACTCACTTTTTTTAAAGTTTTCAAATGTTTTACTTCTGATCTGCTGCCTCAGGACTTGACATGATTAATTGTGCTTTAGAAAACACCTCTGAGCTGATTCCTGCATCATTTCCTGCTTTATGAGCCATCCTGTTCATGTTTTTGATGGGATATAGCCTATATCATTTAGGCTTGTTGTTTTGAAAGAATTTTAACACAGGGATTCTCCCAGGATGTTCATATGGGGAATGTTATCTAAAAGCCTCACACATGCACACAATTATAATGATTTTAAAAAGCTTAAAATAAATACTAAATGGATCGTGGTGTAAAAAAAACACAACTAAAGCTGAATTAGTACTACCACACAGTTGAATTTCTTTAAGGAACACAATTTATCAAATCGATTTAATATTAAATGATTTTTAGTTTTATGGTCCTCAGAAGGTATTACATATTAAATTTAGGGCTGCAACAAATAACTGCTAAAATCAATAAAAATTGATTTATTAAAAGTGTTGGCAACACATTTCATTATCGATTTGTTGTGTCAGGCGATTTATGGTTATTAATTTAATAATTACCGGTAAGTTTTAATTTTCTGAGTGAAGACACATTATTTACTTGCCTTAACCTTATACTGACTGCAAATAAACCAAGGCATTTATTGAATTATTGTGAAAAGCAGCTGACATGAGACTGTCCATGATCAAAGATAAAGACTTCACAATAATAGTTAACACTTTTGTTTCAGGTTACACTCTTCCATCAAGGACACGTTTTACCTTTTAGCTCATGGAGAGAAAATATGAAGACTTTCAAGGATATAGCACAAACCATTTTTGTGTACATTCACATATTCACTGAAGCCATTTGACACGCTTACTTATTTATGCATTACAATTTAATATTAAAGTAATATTAAACTTTTTTGTCAGATTAATCGATTGATTGAAAAAATAATTGAATGATTAATCAATTATTATAATGATAGTTAGTTGCAGTCGTAATTAAGTTCCTAAAAGGTTTTCTTGTTTTGTCTTTTTTCATAACTCAGGAGGTTTATTAATCCAGTCAAATTGAAAGAAGTCAGATGATAAATATCAGTTTTACAGAACAGTTAATTTGTCAAACTTGCTGTTTAAACATACAAGATAGTTTGTTTTTAATGTTTACTGTTCAAAATGAATATAATTAGTTATGTTTCTTGATACGCAGTTGGTCATTTATTTAAAAAAAAGACAACAAGCAGCTTCTGCTTTGCTTCGTGTGGAGGTGGATTCTTTGTTTTATCGTGCTGAGAGGAAACATGAATCCATGTTCAGCTCTCCTCGCTATGTTGGAATTAATTAATTTGTTTTGTTGATGTGTTTTTGTTTGACTTTAACTTAGTAAAAACCTTTTGCAGTGATTTTGAACCTTTTTAAAGGATTACGTTTTTATTAGTTAGATGCACATTCAAATATCGTCACAGAATAAAAAAAATCCATCTCATGTTTTTCTAATCTCTTTCTCTCTTTCTGCATCTCTTATCTTTTCTGGCATTCTCCCCATCTCCTCATCTTTGTCACCTTCAACCCCCCTTTCCTTCTTGATATTTCTTTGTACCCTTTCTCCTCTTTTACTCTCCCCCCTCGCATCATTCCCTTCCTCAGGTGGCAGCTCTGCAAGAAGAAAAGAGCAGTTTGTTGGCAGAAAACCAGGTCCTGATGGAGAGGCTCAACCAGTCCGACTCCATAGAGGACATCAACAGCCATGCTGGACGCAGACATCTCCAGCTGCAAACACAGCTGGAGCAGCTTCAGGAAGAAACATTCAGGTGGGAGGCTGCAACGCACAAAATGTTCATCGTAAAACAAGTTATAACTGCACTTTTTGGCTTCCAAAACAAGCATTTGCATGAAAAAATCATTAGGGTTCTGAATTTCCTGTAGGTTGGAGGCAGCAAAAGACGACTACCGGATTCGTTGTGAGGAACTTGAAAAGGAACTTGTGGATGTGAAGTCCCAGAATGAAGAGCTCACAACTCTGGCTAATGAAGCCCAGTCTCTCAAGGATGAGATGGACGTCCTCAGGTAAGACACAAGGAAAGACACTTCTTCAGAAGATCAGGTTAAACACTGGAAACACAGCTGTTTTAGGGTTTATATTATATAAATTATAAAAAAATATCAATTGTTTTCAAGATACTTTATTTGTTTAAATTACAGTTTAGAGGAAAAACTGATGC